ATTTGTGTCCTAGAAATACCGGCAGAGTATTGCATATTCGGGCTACCTGAAGGGATGCAGAATAATGGGGAAGAGGAAATTTAAGATCAAGTCTTTAAGGGGATTGCAAAGTGGTAGTTCCAAGCTGCAGTTTTGGCTTAAGTGCGCGGACCATTCTCTAACGGCGTATTTGTTGAGCTAGGATAACAGCACCACCGTATCAGGAAATGGACAAACCAAACTTACAGAAGAACTTCTACTTTACTCTGGTTCTCATGAAAAAGAACCTTTATACTTCAGAAATCATTCTACAACTTCAAAAAGTGTTCTTATTAGTCATCGACAACAGAAGATGAACGCAAGAACGTGTTGGATGCGAAGTCTCGCAAAAATCAGTTCTGAAGTAAGTCTATTCCACTCACAGTTGACTTTTTCTCATATAATAACATGGGTCTTTTCATTCTCAAACTGCTCTTTGAGACTTTGCCAAAAAGAAATACGTGTTGCTGGACTAATTCCAAGTGTTTGGACGTGAAGCTTGTTGTGGATATGATTCTAGGACAGCTTTCATCCATTTGCAACGTTTTTTCGGGGGAAACCGTATAGCTTAAAAAGGAACAGTTGAACTAAGTTAGTCCGACAAAAGGCCATTAGCCAGTTTTCCGACTTATGTGTTGTTTTTTTGAGCTAGTCCGCATTCCTTATAGAAGTCTGCTGCGGATTCAGAGAATTTTTTGTTCATGAAAGGAACGCGTTCCGAGACCAGCCTTTATTCGTTACATCCTTGGGAGAAGCTACCTAATATCTGGTTGTGAAATCAGAAGAGTTTACTTCAAAAAGCTTGCTGGCGGCAAAATTAGGCGGTATTAAAGTGTGGCAAAAAAACGTTGTTTTTCTTCGACATGATCACCTCTAAAAACTTATATTTTTTTACGGTTGCGGCGAATTTTCCAGATTATTGCTTTATTTGAAAGTGTCTGTCCTGCAGATTCAGGAAAATGGCTAAGATTTTTTGAATAGGTATGTTCCTTAAGAGCGTAATTTTTGCAAAATATAAAAATTGCAAAGGAGCTTTTTTTGACATCAAGGATTACGGTGCGATTGGTGACGGGAGACTGCAAAAAATCTTCATTTTTCATGCGGTATTTTGTAGCTTTTGGGGGTGGAGGAGCTTCTGTTTCAACTGAAATTTTATCAAATATAATAACATATATAGTTTCATTTATAGTTTAGTTTTTTTAATTCTCTTACTTTTATTAGTTGCCAAACAGGTAGGTAGTTTTGGGTTTTTAGCTTAATTTAAAAGTTGAAAACAAATCATTATGGTTACTTTTTCAATTTATACCTCATTGATTCCTTACTGGACTATTTTGACTCAGATATTTCTTAGAGTAAGGTATTTCCTAGAAAGGTATAACGACTTTGCCAGAAGTTGCGGAAAGGTGGAGAGAACAAACAAGTCCGAAAAAGTTTTATCCTTTGTTCTTCAAAGTGAGCTTATGGTTCATCCAAGGAAGCGGAACAGAATTTGACGGTAATTTTCTTGAAGTTTTTCTTTGCTAAAACGCAGGTACTGTGTACTTCCGAGAGGTCTCGGTGCTCACTCAGTATGTGCCTGTGCTATTCACCCAAGGATGAAGCTTTTGATTGAAAGGGCTCATCTGAGTACAATCACAGAAAACCGAAGCGATCACATCAGAAGTTACAGGGATATTGTTAAGATAGTAGTCTGTGTGAAAGCAGAATAAAGGTGTTTCTGCGCCAATATTCCTTGTCCCCGAATGTACAGAAAGTGATCGATGTATTGGAGGCAGCATTCCGTGAAATCATTATTGATGATACTCGGTATAAGCAATGCAATGCAACAGATAGATGGAACTTGGCTACTGCAGTTGATATTGCAGAAGGGTTTATTGGAGGTCTTTCTGCTTGTATTTGTGGTTTACTGCAGCTTCTATTCATTGCATTGCACTAGAGAAAGTTTTCAAAAGAGAAGAAGAATTGTCAGGTAATAGTGGAGCTGTAGTTTATTTATGACTTTTGAGAAAATTACACACTGGTAGTTCAGAATGCCGCACAGGGATACCATTGGAAGAACACGCAAACCATCATTCACCCATTTATTTCAAAGGAAATTCTGAAACTTCCATTGCTTCATGCAGTCTCGCTGTGGTATCGACTGCTTTCCCCATGATTCGGTAACCGTACCCCTGTTTCAGCTCCAATTAATGACATTCCTAAAGAAAAAGTGCGAGTAAAAGAAAACTTTTCTAATGGTGCTGTATCACAGTACAAAAATTGCAAAAACTGCAGATTTTGTTTTTCAGTCTGTGGATTTTGAAGTCAAAGTAGAGTGACATTTCTTTGCTACATCACACGGAAATAGTCGCTGTGATGGCGAAGCAGGCACATTGTAGAGACTAGAAGTATGAGCCAATTTGCAAGAGTCACATTGAGATTAATCTTTATTTGCTACTGATTTT